AGTTTTCTTTTTTTCTTTTTCAGCTCGCGTGCCTGATATGTTTTCGCAACAAGGCGATTACCGAACGTGATACTTTCTGTCAGTCGAATGCATTAAATAACACTAGAATTGCACGTTGGAATTTTTGTCGGTGGCGATCGTGTCTCCTAGTTGTCGAAATGCTGGGTGACCTTTTCGCGACGGTAACGAAACATCCGACAACTATCGTTTCCTTTCTTTCTACAGACATGGTGGACAAACATTTCGCGATAGTATCCTCGACATCATCGCGAATATAAAGATTTACAGTTATTCGCGCAAGTGGAGCGATACACATACCGCCATATTATGCATATATATATATATATATATATATATATATACCCTTTGATTCTCCGTCGCGGAACCCCCGCGGTGTCACACACCGCGATCACTATCGAGATATCATCGAAGCGGAGCGAAGCGAAACGCCAAAGCGAACACTACCGATTCCCGTATCAACGTATAACGTCTGTAACGTCAATCCCCATAATCCCCAATAATCTGCTGTATAACCCAGCATTAACAAATACTTCCACTGCCACGAATCACTCGAGGGATTTACGTCAAGTCAGATCGGTCAGATGTGCCGCAGCAGAAGCGATAGCCGGATTGAAACACCTTCCTTGCGATCGATGCGAGAGAAAGAGAGAGAGAGAGAGGGAGAGAGAGTGTGTGCGGTTTCCTCCTTATTATTTTCAATTTTCTAAACTTTTAATTTGCAAACAACAGTTTGTTTTGACAGTTCGCGATACGCAGCTTCCACATGTACCGATACCATCTACGAGGATGTGGAGGGAAGATCTTCATTTTGATCTCTGCGGTTAACCACACGGAAGTCCCTCTCGCGAAAAACGCGACTTGCGGTTGCGGCCGTGGATGAATCGCCGAGTCGTGATTCACTTCGCCGAAAAATACCGATGAGAAATCGCGCCGTGGTGTAGAGATCGATGCGCAGCGGGATAACGGTCGAGGAAGTCTCGGAGAAAACTAGATTGAAGCGTTTAGACGAGTTCTCGCGAAGATTATACGGCCGATTACACATCATCTCTGTGCGTGCGCGAGTAGAAACGCGAAGGCATTCGCTATTTTATATTCGAGAATTAGCCTCGGAAGGGAGCGCCTTGAACGAAGAATGCGTTACTAATAATACTACGCGGACCTACTGTGCGCGGGGAATTCTGTAGTAAAAATTACTTCAGAATCTTGTAACCGAGGAATAAATCGACACTTTGCAGTAATTGACTATCCTTTCGTTTTGTACGTGTGCTACTTATATTTTAAGAGCTATGTGCAATGTACTAGTAAAAAAAATTGCCTATGCTTCTAATGAAATTTACTACACCGAAAAAAAAGTATCTGAAAAATAAAACATTTTTACTCGGTAGGTATTAGTGACACACACACACACACACACACACACACACACACTCACATACTTCTAAAATTTTTAATTCTTTTTATCTAAATAAAATAAACAATTGCTTGTATGAGAAATTACAATTTTTAAAGAATATTTTGTGGTTAAAAAGAAAATGTTTTTTTCAATGAAGAAATATGCAAATGTTATTAGTACACACTGAATAAATATTTCTGGTTTTTTATATATTTTTACTGTCAGTGTGCCCTTTAGCAAAATTAGTGATAGTCTATTCCTAGAAACATAGTAAAATTGAACAGAATTTATGTAAAAAAGAAAACTATAATATTCTCTCCGTGTACGATACAGATGGATGCTAATTTCCATGATGAAAAATGTCGAATTTCACGGACCTCCTATGTATGGCGGTATCGACCCAAGTATTTTAACAGTAGCTTATCAACAGCTTATTACGCGAAGTATCGTCGACGCGAGACCGGTCATTTTCCTCGATTTCTCCATTTTTTTCGGGAATTCGCGCTCTCGTTTCATCGCGGCTTTCTTATACGCCCGAAGTCGTCGTTAGAGCAATATTAGTAATATTATTGCCAAATGACTGAGGATACGTATCGCACGGTGTTTGATCACGATAATAAATCGCATGCCAGATATCTTTGGCTGTAATAAAGGCAAATCGATATTATTCCAATTCGCAGTGGAACGTCGAGCACTGCGAATGCGCAAGGCGTTATCGCGACTTCGTGATTTCACACGGAAATAGCTTTCCTTTACTTCGAACATCTCTACGGAAAACACATGTACTTTCTATTTCTCATCAAGTCTAAGTTCACAGGAGATGATAACGATGACACTTCTGACAGAAATCCGTAAAAATCCGTACGAGCGACGCGATTAAAATCGTCCCGACAGCGACTTTAGTGGTCGCTGGCGAACGGTGCTGCGGTACCCTGTTGCAAATAGCGCACCATTAGCCTCCGTATGAGGCGGGCGTAATGTTATACATTACGCGCTAATGGCTACGTGTGGATTGCTGCTGAACGCATGTACGCGAGTCGGTTGTTCTCTCGTACTTGGTCAGCATACTAAAGAGAAGACACGGGTGCGCAAACTCGCGGGGGACATGCATTTTAATAATTCATATAATCTGATTAATACGAGAGATAGAGAGAGAGGAGGGGGAGGGGGGGGGGG